CAAGGGCTGTAGGGTGGGGCTCAAGGGAGTCAGTGTGCTAAAATTTCTTCATTTTCCTTGTTTAGAATCAGAGGTGCTAGTTTCAAATCCTTTTTAGTCTGAAATCTGTATGCTAGATATTGAATAAGGTGGTTTTATTGTTTTTTGTCACTTTGAATAATATTTCTGTTCATGTTAAAAACGAAATCAACTCTCTGTATAAATATATCAGGTGACCGTTAAGGCCCATGGGCCTCTTGTTTGTTTCACTGACTAAAAATAGGGAAGAGAATTTTAAAACAGTGTTAAATAGGTGTTCTATGTTTGACTCATCGTTGAAGTTTGATGTATGAGATTTTATGGAAATCGTGAAATCATGCTAGTTTATATAGTGTATGACAGTAGGAGGTTTAGCCATGCTTCATTGGCTGGAATCCCCAAGGTCACAGTTTGACCTTTAGCTTACCGCAGAGTGGCCGAGTCCAGTTAATTTTGTGTATATGCATGGATGTGCACGTAAGGGAAAATGTTGTAAACATAACGAGCAAACTTTTTTAATGTTGTGCTTGAATAAAGGCAGGTTATCTTAGATGTGCATGGATTTTATGGGTCTGTATCGTGGAACTACATTTCTAGATAGGCTAACTTCATGTTACAGTTCAATTTCATTCAATCAGCCATTTCAAGGACATGAACATCAGTTTCATTGTGGACTTTTCTAAGGTTAATGAGATTTTACGATATATTTTGTATTTTGTATTGGAAATGGCGGGACTTTCATCATCCAGCTCCGATTTATTTCCCAAGTACTTTAGATTCAACCTTACATTGACCCAATCTTACAAGCTTTTTGTATAAAATCTGTTTTGTTTTGCGAATTACCATGAAACCCAGTCATCTTTGTGGTATAGCTTATGTACCCCAGTCTTTTATTCTTCAGTTGTTTAATGCCTGAAGACATTTTTGTAGATTTTTATTGTTGAATTTGAATTCTACATTAATGACATACTTTCGAATGTCTGTGTTACATGCAATGTCAAATATACATTATGTATATAAGAGAGAAGTTAAAAGGATTTGTATCAAAGGGCATTTCAGACAATCAAAATATTGCATGCAATTTTTTAAGCATTTTTGATGGTTGAAATTGTGCCTTCATTTTCGATTCTGAATGGTTATTAGCATGCTGTATTCAAGGTATAATTCACCAATATGTTAAATTCTTGTTAATTTTTACCTGGATTGGTTTGAACACAAGTTGTATAAGGTATATTTTGTAGCATAGTATATGTTATCATCACAAAATGTCAATTGCCAATTTTCTCTTTGATTAAGTCAACTAGATGTTATTTTTACTGAAACGTGTGCATGGGTTTGTAAACTTGTCCATATTAAGACACAAAAAAAAGTCTGCCAATGTTTCAGAACATGATCTGATTTAGACATACATCAGAATTGTTGGTAAGGGGTATTGATTTATGCATTGTCCAATGTCGTTTTGGATGTCTAAATAGTTACATGGGGGATTATTCATTAGTTTACAGTTAGGAGTGGGGTGTTTCCAAAGAGATTTTTTATTTATTCTTTTTTTTTTTTTTAAGGAACTTTGCAAATGATTGTTTCATGAGAATTCTTCCCATAGACCCTTGGATCTGCCACTGTTTAAGATTTTCACTCTTAGCGGAACAATTATCTTTTGGCAACCATGGATATTATTTTTTGTGCTCTCGATAATGTCTTTCCATTTATGTATGTTTTGTTGACGAACTTCTTACAAAAGAATGTCTAATTCTTTAACCCTTTCACCTCTGTAGACCATAGTGGATTCATCCAGATCAATGTATAGTAGAATCTGCTGCAGTTATATAGGGGTGAAAGGGTTAATAATGTTTTATTCTGCATGTAGAGCAGAACTGGAAGTAGAACCTGGATATGTAGAAGCACTGGTATCTTTTCTTGGGAACTGGTAACAGCTAGTCAAATACAACAAATGTAAACTTTAATATTGTTCAGAATCGAATGAGCATGTGCCAGTCTATAGAAAGATTCTGTACATATCTCTTAGAGTGTGGAGAACCAATGCTGTGTGATCTCTGTTTTAGATGAACTCCTTCGAGCAGCTTTGCATCAACTACACCAACGAGAAGCTACAACAACTCTTCAATCATACTATGTTCATCCTGGAGCAGGAGGAATACCAGAAGGAGGGCATCGAGTGGAAGTTCATTGATTTCGGTCTCGACCTACAGCCCACCATCGACCTCCTCGAGAAGGTAATATTTCCAAAACAAATTCTTGTAAATGTGCAAGGTGAAAAACCCATCACTTATTAAAGAAAATATAACATTCATCACGTTTCATCATACTGTGACAAAGAAATTAATTGTAATGCCATAGTAAACATGGTAAAAAAAAAAAAATCTGTATTGATATTGTCTTGCCAAGATTTGAAATTGTTCCTTATATGAAATCACCTTTTCCAATGTGCTCAGGTTCTGTGCGAATTGTGTTGTTAACTGCATGCTCTATTGTTTGTTTAAAATAGCCCATGGGTATCTATGCTCTGGTTGATGAGGAGTGCTTCTTCCCCAAAGCCACAGACAAGACCTTCATTGACAAGGTTGTCACCCAACATTCCTCCCATCCCAAGTTCCAGAAGCCTGACTTCAGAGCTGATGCTGACTTCAGTCTGATCCATTACGCTGGAAAGGTAAGTCATTAGTGTAAATCTTTTCATAAATAGGATTTAATTGCTTTTCAAAGGAATGATTTGTAAGATTTGAATTCACAAATTGGGGGGGGGGATCTTTATGTAAGATTTGTGTCATCCTTACTATAACTGGTAGTTTTCCTGACCTTTCACTCATTAACCCCTGAAGACACATTTGAACTCCTCTAATTTAAGGATTGGAATAGTTCATAATGAAATTTCAGGGTTGAATGAGTTAATATTTGGAGGTCAAAGGTAAAGGTTACAATTGATTTTCAGGTTACGTTTGATGCTTTGTAAAGTTTGAGTATTCTAGAAAAAAAATTGTCTTGATATGTGTAGCATGTTGCTTGCTGTGTTTCCAGGTTGACTACTCGGCTAAGATGTGGCTGATGAAGAACATGGACCCCTTGAATGAGAATGTGGTGTCCCTACTGCAAACCTCGTCGGATCCCTTCGTGGTAGCCATCTGGAAGGATGGTAAGAAATCAATATTATGCTTCCATTTCGTACAAAGTATGATTTTCTGTTGTTGTGCCCCCGCCATAAAATGGGGGGGGGGGCATATAGTGTTGCCAATGTCTGTCCCGTTCCGTCAAACATCAAACCCTGATCCGTCGAACATCAAACACTGAAACTTATTTCACATGGTGACGGAGGCATTCATGTCTTAGACATTTTCTAGTTTCAAAATTACTTTGATAAAAATAGTTATCATAAGTATGTGTTAGTTTTAGATGGTTCAACTATAAAACTTTTCATAGACATTAACAACTGTGATGATAACGCAAGTAACTTTCATAGACTAATGAATGTTTCTCTTTTGACAGCCGAGATTGTTGGTATGGGAGCCGCATCTACTGGTGACACCATGTTTGGGTCCCGAACCAGGAAGGGCATGTTCAGGACAGTGAGCCAACTGTACAAGGAACAGCTCGCCAAACTGATGGCCACACTACGCAACACCAACCCTAACTTTGTTAGATGTATCATTCCAAACCACGAGAAAAAAGTAGGTTGAACCATGGTCAGAGGATGGTTTGAATCTGTTATATTATTGTACCTTTTAAATGGCACCACTGATGAAATAGTGAACTCATTCACCCCCTGAAGATACATTTGAACTCTTCCCATTCAATGGTTGGAATAGTTCATAATGAAAGTTCAGGGGAGAATGAGTTATTGCAATCAAATTAAAAGTAGAAAGTGTATGTTTGCACTATAAAGTTTTCAGGTAGAATATATATGTCGGGGCTACTGCTATTACTTGGGCAATTTGAAACCAATAATAGCCAGTACTCATTATTCAAACTTTTCTTTAACTATTAAACTCAATTATACAGTCTCTATCTGAATTCTTTATTTCTTGTAACTTGTTTGATGCAGGACAAATTAAATTTGTGTTGAAATTTGGTAGGAATGACTCGCTGGGTAAATTCAAATTTAAAAAAGAACAATTTGGTTTCTTTTAAAAAATCAAAATTGATGAACTTGAGTTAGATGGCATGAAAAATGACACTTGTAGTGGAACTTCCATTTAGGTACTTGTGAAGTATTTAAACTTGAATGTTACCGTAAAAATGAACTTTATTTTAACAGGCTGGGAAAATTGACTCGCCACTGGTCCTAGAGCAGCTAAGGTGTAACGGTGTACTGGAAGGAATCCGAATCTGTCGACAGGGCTTCCCCAACAGAATCATATTCCAGGAATTCAGACAGAGATACGAGATCTTGTGTCCCAGCAGTATTCCCAAAGGTTTCATGGATGGCAAGAAGTCGGTCGAAAAAATGGTAATTTGATCTCGACGCCCCTGGGTATGGTATACTACAGGTTTTACTTGCATTAAAGGCAGGCATTGAAAAACGTTTGAACAAGTGTAATTTATGTACTGACAGAAAATTTCAGATATGAAACATTCTGAAGGCTTAAAATGCAGATGATACTGGTATACTCTCCTGTTTAAAACATAAAAAAATGCAATTCAAATAGTTAAATCATGGTGATAGTTACATGTGTCTGTCAGCCACAGGTAGATAACAACAAAATGAGTCAACATTCCTTAGGTTTAATATTGCAATGAAGAACAATGTCCCGGGGACCCCCCAAAAAAAAAGGATATTAAGATTCTCAACACCATTAAATAAATCCTTAAGTAATTAATGTATTTGATTATAGTGGAGCTAATTTATTATTTTCGTTTTGTAGATAAATGCTCTAGAGTTGGATCCTAATTTGTACCGAGTTGGACAGAGCAAGATCTTCTTCCGAGCAGGAGTGCTGGCACATTTAGAGGAAGAACGAGATCTGAAACTTACCGATATCATCATTCAGTTCCAGGCTTTATGTAGAGGCCTGATCGCTAGGAGGTAAGACAGGCTAGCAAAGGACATATACATTCAGATCAAAAAGAAGTTTTTAAGCTTCCTAACACCATACATTTTGTTAAAATTTACATACCTCCAAAAGTTTTTCCAGAATGAATTTAACATACACTTCTTTTTAGCCTATATGGGTAAACCTTACAAATCATCTGGCTTCACATGTGGTTTTGAAAAATATGTTCTGCAGTATGTATATCACTAAAGAAAAATTAAATACTAGAAAAAGTTAATTATTAAATTGCAAAACATTTGCAACAAAAGGCAAGTGGAATGGAAAGTGTTGTGAAGTAAGGGGATATAATCCCATATTTTGCATGACAGGAACTACCAGAGGAGACTGCAGCAGTTGAGTGCAATCCGTGTCATACAGAGAAACTGTGCTTCCTACCTCAAGCTGAGAAACTGGGCATGGTGGAGACTCTTCACGAAGGTTTGTTACCTCCCCTTGACTGTACTTTATGGGTGATAGGCTCAATGTTGAGCCCATACCATGATTACCTGTTTACTCGGATGAGGGTGATACATGAAATTGGAACCCCATTTATGGATATAATGATTGTATTCAGAATTATTAAGTCCAGTGCTCATTTTGCGTTCTTTCTAAAGACTAGTCAGCGAAGTCAGCGAAGCTGTCTTGGTAAGAACATCGTTTTTACATAGCAGTGACCCGATGAAACTTGCACAAATATGTAACTATATTCCTGCTAAATGAACCTTTTCAGTTATAGTTCCGTTTTGCTGATCACAGTTGTATCATAAATAGATAGTTTCAATACTAAATATTTCCAACCTCTTTGTTGGGAACATTCCTGTTTTCAAAATTCACAACTTAATTTGTGTAAACTTGTTAGTGATCAGCTGATACCCTCAATGTGTATATTCGTAGGTCTGTATCACTGAAATGCTGTTCCCATTGTATATAATAGTTAACAAAACACGCAAATTGACCAATATTAAGGTGTTTCGTCTCTTTTGATTTTGATTTAAGGTAAAACCATTGCTACCAGTGGCTGGACAGGAAGAAAAACTTACGCTAAAAGAGGACGAACTTAAGAAATTTAAGGACGTTAACGATCGACAAAAGTCTGACATAGAGGAACTGGAGAGAAAGTATGCTCAAATCATTGAAGAAAAGTCCATCTTGGCAGAACAGCTACAGGCTGAAACAGAAATATGTGCCGAGGCCGAGGAGGTGAGGATAATAAAGGGATAGAAGTCTAAATTTGGCTTGGCTTAATGTGGAGATAGTTCACAACAGTGTTTTGATGAACAATCTGAAATTGAATATGACTTAGCCATAATTTAATAAAATCCATTCCGATTTTGATTGTATTAAAAGGAAAGGAGACAATAATCACCCACCAATAAATAAAAATTTGAAGCAATAGAATCCTGAAATAAATTTCTTATTAATTTCTCTCCCACCATCACAATGTATTCTGTAATCCCTAACTGAATTATACTGCCATTGTCTACAGTCCAAAGCCAGGATGCAGGCCAAGAAGGAGGAACTGGAAGAAATCCTACATGATGTAGAGATCAGGATAGAAGAAGAGGAAGATCGCTGTAACGCCCTCATGGACGAACGCAAGAAATTCCAGCAAACGGTCGCTGACCTGGAGGAACAGTAAGTATGGTGGGAGATATATGCACAACTACAGAAGCACATATACAGTCGAATCTGCTCAAGCAACCATCTGTATTAAACGACCACCGGTTTATGCGACCACTTTTCATTCCTCCCGACCGTTTTACTATGTAATTTAACTGTATTAAGCGACCATCTGTCTAACGCGACCAGCGACCACCCAATACTGACTCCAAAATTACTTTAAACAACCACATTTGATACGCAACTATTTCAACGACCGTCAACACATTTGACGAAGGGCTACTTCACGATCTTTTCACCAAGTTCGATGAACAAATTTGACAAAACCAATTTCCAAATTTATAATAAATTAATTGATGTGCCCAAACGAATAAAAAGTCATTTTTTAACTGCCGATATTGTTGACTTAGCAGTGAAAATATGAACTGATATTGATGGCAGTTGAGCAAAACCATCTTGATTGCGCGAGTGCCCTGCTAGGCAATGTAACCTTTTATCCTCCATCTGATAGGATGAAGTACACTGGCGGGTTTTCATTCTTGAAATCGGGTCTGTTTAGAGATGTTCACGACAGCACTCTCGTGCGAAATTAACATTGGATATAAGCGCAACTGTGCACTAAACATGTTTATTTTAACACACATAACGTTTCTAATTCCTCATCAATAAGACAATTCTTCTGAAACACTCTTAGTTGTTTGTTTACTGTCATAATTATCACTGGACTATTGTTAGTTATTCACCTGATCTGTTGAACGATATTGTTTTAAACTATCTTTACAAACATGTGTAAATGTGCGCTTGGGGTGGTGGTCTGTTTACAGTTGTCTGAATAAGGAGACGTTTGGTTATAGTCGGTTGTGTTATTCTGTACAAAATATGGCCAAACTTTATTATCGGTGGTCCCTTCATACAGATTCCACTGTACTTAAGTGGTGGCTAGACTATCCCATGAATTGCCGGGTGTTCATACTGTCCTACTATTTTTCTTTGCCTTTACTGTATACCTGATATGTGGGAATAATGCCAATGTAAGCACCTGATAGAATAGATTTCATTGAACAGTTCCAGGAGGGGGAAAGGAAGCAAACTGATAGAATTTAAAGGAGAGAATATGGTCTGTTCTTTACAGTAAAGATATTAAGGACCGTGTTTCTTCTTCTGGGGACTTTTTGGGACTGATGATTGGCTCCACTCCCAATTGAAACTGTTTAAGATTTACACCTAATTCCCAAAATTTGCAGTTTACTTCTGAACATTTCCTTCCCAATCGGTATGTTTCTTCTCAAAATGAGAAAAAAAGCCCCCATCCCAAATTAATGGGGGGTAAAACCTAATTCTTATTACAGGCAGGCATACGGTTATAAAGTGCCTTTAATATAGCTATCATGTTCATAACATTGATGTGGTTTTATTTAAACACAAACACAACAGTATTGCTCATTACTTTCTAAATTCACAAAATATACAAAATAAATCCCTAACAAAAATTATTATCTACAATAAATAGAGGATATGCAAAAAAATGCGAAGTTTTCTGGAATATCTTGTACGGGCCGTAATTTTTCCGTTAAAGGGAAGACACAAGTTTTTGATCATAAAAACTAATCTCTAGTTCTCCTTATGTTACAGACTTGAAGAGGAGGAACAATCTAGACAAAAATTACAGCTAGAGAAAGTATCTGCTGATTCAAAGATAAAGAAGTATGATGAGGAATTGGCTCTTCAAGAGGATACAAACCACAAATTGCTCAAAGAAAAGAGAGCGATGGAAGAACGTATGAGCGAGGTCACCGCACACTTGGTGGAGGAAGAAGAAAAAGCCAAGCAGCTCGGCAAACTTAAGAACAAGTACGAGTCTATTATCTCGGATTTGGAGGAACGCCTCAGGAAAGAAACACAGGTAACATTTTGTTTTTGTGAACAACACTTCTCTTAATTGATTAACAATGATGTTAATTGGCTTTTCACTAGGCACACTTTCCATTTTGATTTTAATAGAATTTATTTTTTCGGAATTCCTATTACAGGCAAGGCAGGAATTGGAAAAAATTAGACGGCGTTTAGAAAGTGAACTAAACGATTTAAGGGAACAGTTAATGGAGAAACGTCAACAACTAGAAGATCTACAGGCACAGCTTTCAAAACGAGAAGAAGAGGTTCAACATGCATTGAAAAAGTAAGTTGTAACATGAAAGCAGTAATTACCAATTGGAACTGAACTTCAAAAAATTCTGTTCAGGGTGGTTGGGTGGTACAGTAGATAACAATTGTTGTAAAATAAAGTTTGTAAAAAAATCTGTTCAGGGTGGTGCATTAGATAATACAATGATTGTAAAATAAAGATAATTTTAAATAAACCCAGTTAAATAGGTAAAACAGTTAAATAGGTTTTCAACCAGACTTGATGCACTGTGTGAAAATAAAAGTTATGATTGGAAAAAGAAAGAGGGCAAAAATCTGCTGAATACCCACTAAAAATGTCTGGAATATTAAGAATTCATTGGTAGAATTTCCTGAATTTTCCAGGGTAGATGAAGAAGGCGTTGCGAAGTCTCAAGCCAGTAAACAGTCGCGTGAGATACAGAGCCAGTTACAGGAAGTCACGGAGGACTTGGAGACGGAGAAAGAGGCAAGAATGAAAGCAGAGAAACAGAAACGTGACCTGAGTGAGGTAAGTTTTATGTTGAGGATTAAGGCCAGAGATGGAAGATGTTTATAATAGCAGTAAAAAAGCATGTCAATGTTTCTTTGTTGACTTTTTTTGCAGTGAATGATCTCACTGGAGTAAAGTGCATTGTGTTATGAAAGAACATGGAAAATTCAAAGCATGTCAGATTCTTTAGGTGGCAATGTTTATTTTAGCAACTTTTGTACATTTATACCAAGTCCAGGAGTGCAACATAACTGAAGAGTTCAGAACAAGTTGCACCACATACCTATTATCTTAAAGCAGTATTTTGAACACTGATAAAGTTGCATTTCATTCAATTAAATGGGGAAAAACTAAATATCCTAGCTGGAAATAGTAACGCATGATTTAATGAGATGTTTTTTGCAAGTAGAAAAATTAGTATAACCATATTTCAAAAAATTCACTATCCTCAGCATAACATTACAAAAATCCTCTTGGTTACCTAATGTAAAATGGCACTTAACCTCTTTAAAGTTGCTCAATGACCTGTGAAAATCTTGTTTCTTGTAGGAATTAGAGGCTCTCAAGTCTGAGCTGGAAGATTCCATGGATGCTACTGCTGCTGTTCAGGATCTGAGAAACAAAAGAGAAGATGAACTCAAGGATCTAAAAAATATGTTGAGTGAAGCTAAGAAAAGTGGAGAAGAGCAAGTACATGCTATGCGACACAAGCATTCAGCTCAAACCCAGGCACTCAATGAAGAAATTGAAAATGTTAAAAAGGTATGCAATGTTCCTTTATATTGCAGTATGTTATGTCAAAAAAGCTATACCAGGACAGACTATATTGAATAATTGTAAATGACATGCTTGTTTACCAAGAAGATTTGTAAAAGAGGTCCTTCTTTATAATGCTTGGTTTAGGAGTGAACTGTTAAGTAAAAATCTTCTTTATCACCTTTGATTTTTTTTAAATGGTTGGTTTGCAGCATATAGCTTAGGGTCTTGTAAGAAAGAGACCTTAATTTCTAAAAGAAAAGAAAAAAAAGTATTCAAACGTATCAGGTGAATGGTACTTGTATAGTTCATGGTAACTGTTTTACCATTCAGAATAGTATAATTAAGTTTGAAGAGTTACATTAAAGACATTTATAGCATAATTGACATTTTTGTCACCAACAGAACAAGGCGTCCCTTGATAAACAGCGACAGACCCTGGAGGCAGAGAACACAGACTTGGCAAGTGACCTTAAACAGGTTCAGATGGCTAAGCAAGAGTCTGAACGCAAGCGTAAACAGGTAGAGAGCCAGCTTCAGGAAGTCATGATCCGTCTACAGGAGTCTGACCGGGGCCGTACCGACACTAGCGAAAAGGCTACGAAACTTGCAGTAAGTTCACTCACACAAGTGATTGCCATTTAAATAACTGGACAATAACTTTTCAGTGGCTGTGTACAATTGAAAAGAGGTGGGTCTCTTTAATCTAAGAAAGATATTGCAGTATTCTAAAATAAAAGTTGCCTAGAAAGGAAAGTTGCTTTGTGTTTACTTAATATGAGAATAAATCATACAAATATGATTTATATGTTTTAGATGTTTGGTGTATAATCTGTTCTATCTTGTTTTCCTAGAATGAGCTGGAACAAGTCAGCGTGCAGCTGGAACAGGCAGACACAAAGACGGTTCAGTTGAGCCAAAAAGTGGCCTCGTTAGAAGCACAACTTGCTGATTCACAGGTAAAGGATGCCGTGGATAAAAGTCCAAGTTGCTGTATAATTCAAGACTAGGCTTTATAATATGTTGAAGTGTGCTGCCAACTGAACATTGTTGAATGCTGTAATGAATATATAAATCTGATAAGTATTATTGTCATCTACAATGGTCGAATGGGCTAGTGTCATTTTCGTGATGTAGATCAAATTTGATATTTATATTCTAATCTGATCTCCTTTCTATTAGTAAATTTATCAGGGTTAGAAGATGTCATGTGATGTTGAGAGATGCTAGGGGGTGTTGAGAGATGTTTGGTGATGTTGAGAGATGTTAGGGGGTGTTGAGAGATGCTAGGGGGTGGTAAGAAATATTTGGTGATGTATAGAGATGTTAGGGGATGTTGAGAGATGTAAGATGGATATGTTTGGTGATGTTAAGAGATGGGTAGGTGATGGTTAGAGATGCAAGTTGATGTTGAGAAATGAAAGACGATGTTGAGAGATGTAAGTTGAGATTAAGTTGATGTTGAGAGATGAGGGGTGATGTCCAGAGATGCAAGAGGATGTTTAGAGATGGGAGGTGATGTTCAGAGATGTAAGATAATGTTGAGATTAAGTTGATGGTGAGAGATGGGAGGTGATGTTGAGAGATGTAAGATAATGTTGAGAGATGGGAGGTGATGATGAGAGATGAGAGGTGATGTTGAGAGATGCTAGGGGGTGTTGAGAGATGTTAAGGGGTTGTTAGAGATGGGAGGTTATGTATAGAGTTGTTGAGAGATGTAAGATGATTTTGATATGTTAAGTGATGTTGAGAGATGGGAGGTGATGTTGAGAGATGTTAAGGGGTGGTAAGAGATGTTAGGTGATGTTGAGAGATGTAAGATGATGATGAGAGATGGGAGGTGATGTTGAGAGATGTAAGATGATGATGAGAGATGGGAGGTGATGTTGAGAGATGTAAGATGTTGTTGAGCTTAAGTTGATGTTGAGATATGTTAAGGGGTGGTAAGAGATGTTAGGTGATGTTGAGAGATGGGAGGTGATAATGAGAGATGGGAGGTGATGTTGAGAGATGTAAGTTGATGTTGAGTGTTGAGATTAAGTTGATGTTGAGAGATGGGAGATGATGTTGAGAGATTTTAAGGGGTGGCAAGAGATATTTGGTGATGTTGAGAGATGTAAGATGATGTTGATATGTTTGGTGATGTTGAGAGATGGGAGGTGATGTTGAGAGATGGGAGGTGATGTTGAGAGATGGTGACTTACTATCATGTGCTAACTTTATACAGGACAACTTACAAGAGGAAACAAAGAGCAAGCTGCAGATGCAGTCCAAGCTGAGACAGGTGGACGATGAGAAGGAAGGCTTATTAGACCGCATAGAAGAGGAGCAAGAGTCCAAGAAAACATTTGAGAAACAGATCAGCGAGCTGCAAGCTAAGGTAAGCATAGATTTTCCGAACAGCTTATGAGACTTTCTTCTCTTTTTCTTGTCAAATACAAGTCCATGTCTTGTTAAACTGCTGTGACTTTCTAATTTATTACACATGATATGATCGCACATACAAATACATAGAAAATGTTGCCAATTTTATTATACCCTCACAAATAAAACCCAGAATATATTTTCCCAACATGTTCACTAAAGATTGGTTTTAATTATTAATGGATTAAACAAACTCGAGCAAACCTCCACTTTTACAGATGTTAGAAGTGAAAAAGAAGCATGAAGAAGAGATCCAGAAATTGGAAGGAAATGAGGAGCAAAGGAAGAAGTTAGCCAGGGATGCACTGGACGATCAGAAAAAGGAGGCTGACCTCATCATTGAGCGACACGAGAAGTCTCGCAAGAAGTTACAGGCTGAGGCAAGTCCCTTCAGTTAGATATTGCAACTTGGGAATTTTCTACCCTTTTCAAAGCATCTAGCCAAATTTCAATCTTTTCTCGATGACATTTTTGGTAGTATGTCATTTGTACTGATAAAAGTCCTTAGCTGTAAATAGGATTTAAAACAAAATAAACCAACCCTTGAAGATATTCTATTTAAGAACTTTCATCAGTACAATTTTTCTTTTTTAAACGGAACATTATCAAAAATACTAAGCCTATGTGTAAGTGGTGTGTATGTACAACAGGTGGAGGACATGACGGTAGAGTTAGATAACCAGAGGTCTGCCTACACACAAATGGAGAAGAAGCAGAAGAAATTTGATGCTCTCCTCAATGAAGAAAAGAGTGTTTCTGAAAAGTAAGTTACTGGGCACTGCTGAAATTTGTAATGCGTTATAACGTGAAATACTTGTGAATATTTTCAATGATGGTTTAAAGCCATTTACCCAGGTAGATTGTTTCATGGTACAACAAGCTTTCGTGGCTACCCCATGTAAACAAAAACAGTAGTCAAGGATATCAATCAACTTTTTTGCATTTATTTTCGTGATGCTGTAGCAACCATGACTTGCTCTCTCAAAGAGACAACAAACCAGTATCTGGCAGAACTGTAAGAAATACTTTTGTATATATATCCAGATTTTCCGATGTTATTGTATGTCATTGAGGCCATCGCCAAATGAACTTAATGGTTTAGATGTAGGGAATATCATTCAATGTACAACTGCAATCAAAATCAACTAGATAAAATATTTTCAGGTAACTCTTGCTCGTGTTTATTCCTGATTATCACATGTGTTGTTGCTTAGACTATCAATGGAGAAGGACTTGCTGGAGAGGGAAAGTCGGGAAAAGGAAACAAAGATCATGAACATGCAGAGAGAACTAGATGAACTACACGATTCATTTGAGAAGGCTGATAGGAGCCGACTTCTTCAGCAGAGGGAACTTGAGGATCTCATGTCATCCAAGGATGATGTTGGCAAAAATGTAAGTATTTTATTTCAGATCAGAAATGGTAATTGCTGAGGGAATGATGCGAGACCGGAGAAAGAAAATATGTGTTCCTGCTATTTAAGCAAGCTTGTAGAAGAAATGGCACTTCAAAGCAATGCTCACCTCACTTTACTTTTATGGAAAATAACCTTGGCTGTATGAAAAGGTCATATGATCATTTGGTTTTGATAAAAATGGCTTGTGATGACTAACATTCTCATAAACAAGATAAGGTGTAAGTACCCACCTGGCAATCTAAGAGTTGCACCAGTTTCTTCAGCTTGTATGTTTCTATGTCTCTCTTGACTTGTTATGGCTCTGTAACTTGTTTGTGTTGATATGAAATTAAGATTTATTATAATATTGTTTCATCATGTTATATTCAGTCTGGTAGACCAATCGTAATTAAGTACTGTCTATTGAGGCACCAGCTGAGAATAGCACTATAATAGGAAAACAGCAGTTTTTTTGTTTTTTTTACAATACTGGGGAGGATGAATTTTGTTTGTGTGGCAATCTAATATCCCAATACTCTTCCCCAGGTCCACGAGCTGGAGAAGTCTAAGCGTACTCTGGAAGCCCAGGTTGAGGAGCAGCGTCTCCAGATAGAGGAGCTGGAGGATGAGCTCCAGACCACAGAGGACGCCAAGCTCCGACTGGAAGTGAACATGCAGGCCTTGAGGACCCAGTTTGAACGTGACCACCAAGCTAAGGAAGATACTGTCGAGGAACAAAAGAAATTACTCGTCAAGCAGGTAACTTTCTGAACACTCCTCAAACAAGACTCTGTTACAGTTATCCTATTAAAATTTTCATTACGCATTATTGGTACACTATGGATTGGTTAACTTGATATAAATCTATTAGATGTGTATGTTAAATTCATTTGAGAACATTTGGATTCTTGTTAGTTTCAATTAAATGTTACGGTTGAAACGAAAAAAAACTTGGGGTCAGTCAGGAAATAGGAAACTCAACTAATGTAATTTTTAGCCTAAATCACTTGAGATAATCCAGATTAAGAACATTATTGAACATGAGCATTTTTATCAAGTTTACCAACACTTGCTTATTTCTTCGACAGTTACGTGAGATGGAGGCTGAACTTGAGGATGAGCGTAAGCAGCGTGCAATGGCTGTGAATGCCAGGAAGAAACTAGAGAACGACATCAAGGACCTCGAGCAGCAAGAGGAAATGGCTAACAAAGTAAAGGAGGATGCTGTGAAACAGCTGAAGCGCACCCAGGCAGTTATGAAGGACAATCTACGTGAACTGGACGAAGCGCGATTGGCTCGGGAAGATGCTGCTGCCACACTTAAGGAAAATGAAAAAAAGTTCAAGAATCTTGAGGCAGAAGTTCTTCGGCTACAAGAAGAGTTGTCTTCCTCCGAGAGGTCTCGCCGAAATACTGAGGCCGAGCGCGATGACCTTCAGGATGAAATCACCAGCAACACGACTGGAAAGTAAGTATAGTTTGGTTTCTTTACACATAACTATTGCTCACAACTTAATGTGTTTCAAACCAAATAAACTGCTGAAATATTTAGGTTTTGCAAGCATACATTCATAGTTATATTGTCTTGATTCGAATGTTTTAGTAATACGTATTTAACTGCATACCATAAAAGTTTGCAGCCTCAATTTTACACATCCGTTGAATTGATCAATTTATCACAAAATAGGATCTGATGATTTTTATATTTAACCATATGTTATCAAAATCGATACATAAATTATTCAAGAGAGCTTTAGCACTACAATGTGATTTTCCTGAATTATTGAATTTATATGCATTTTATCGAATTGTTCTTTTGTACTTCAGTGAAGATCAGAATCGGTACAAATGTTTTATAGACCTTTTTGTTGTGTCCTTGACCCCAGGGCATGTTACCTAGCATGAATATTTTAAAAAACATGGAGACCTCATACTTTAATTCTAATTACTTAGATGACCAATGATGTCTTCTACTTCTTCTAAATGGTACTGACCAACATCAACAATTTGAAGATAAAATGTCAGACGAGGAGTGAAACATGGAAAGAGATTGTTTTTAAAAGATACAATATGGTCTAATTTGCGTTTGAAAAGTGACGGACGAGGGCTGATTTGAATAATTCCGTTGTGGGGCTTGAAATAATGTCAGGTGGGAGTTTATTCCACTCGGGTATAGTTCGAGGGAAGAATGATGCCTTTCTGGTCTGGGTTTTTGAGTGGGGAACTTGATAGGAAAACTGGTGGTTTGTTCGGGATTTTCCAACTGTAGAGATTAATCTGTCTGATTTTACGATAGCAACTTTCTGGTTTACAATGTTATGAAGCATGGTCAGACGAGCATCTCTACGTCTATCTGCTAAAGGGCGCAGCTTTAGGTGGTCCAACATTTCTGACACACTGGAGGTACGATGGTTGTACCTGTGCTTATTGAGCAAATAGCGCGCTGCCCTTCGCTGGACCATTTCCAACTTGTCAATATTTGTTTGGGTGTGAGGGTCCCATACTGTACAGACATACTCAAGTGATGGTCTAACTAATGATTTGTATGCCTGTACTTTGGCTGATGTTGAGCCAATTTTAAGATTTCGTCTTAAAAAAGCCTAGCGTAGAATTTGCTTTTGGGCAGATAGTATTTATATGTGAATCCCATTTTTGGTCAGATGATAGTGTTACACCCAGATACTTAGCCTGACTAAGATGTTCCAGTATGTGTCCATGTAAAATATAATTATGGACTGTTGGAGTTTTGTTTTTAGTCACCGACAACACATTGCATTTGTTTGGGTGGAAGATCATTTTCCATGTATTTTCCTAGAGCGCTAGTTTGTCAAGATCTTTTTTCATGTCAACCCATGTTTGTAGGCAGAATGAATATTTCACATATAAATAACAAACTACTTTTGCCTTTTTGTGTAATTCAAAAAAACAGGTAATAACAATTTTTTTCTAGAAGAATTTAAAAAATAAAGACTAATTTTCCCAAATCACACTATGCATGCAAGAAAAATTTGAGTAATCCTGTATGCATCAATTTGAAAACGTGTTATTACTGGTATGAAGCAAGTCCTTACTATCCAACTCTGTCCATTAGCGTTTGGGTGTACAATTACACCTTGTATGATCCCCCAAAACACCCTATTCCCTGTGTGTGCCCATAAGAGCCTGTAAGTAACACATTACTGTCTAAGTTGTGTAGGAAAATATTGCGAATTGTATTTTAAACAATGTGCTTGGAACAATGTGCTAGAAGAGATTTTTGAAGTTAATTGAAACATGGAGTAAACCTAATGAAAATCCAGGGAAATCAAAAAAATGTTTTGGGGAAACTCCAATTCAGTTCATTTGCTAAGTAACAGATACGTTTTAAAATTATCCAATTTGTAAAGCTAGGGAAAATATTGAGTTAAATTGTTACGTGAGCTTGTCATGATGTAGCATAAAGTTTCAAAATTTTAAATTGTTACCTGTTCTGTGTGAGGTGTTGAGACCCCCTGCTGAGTTACGTGTCTGTGTTTGCAGGTCATCGTTGTTGGATGAGAAACGCCGACTGGAGGCACGTTTACAGCAGGTAGAGGACGAGTTGGAGGATGAACAGACCAACGGTGAATTGCTGCTTGAAAAAGCTCGCAAGGCACAAATGCAGGTAAGAAGTCCGGCGTTGTATTGACATATTTGTTATTTCTGCTTCAGAATTTTTTAAGATGCTACTTTTGGATTTCAATTCATAGTTGTAATTTTTTTTCTTACAAGGTTTTTTTAAGCCTCGTTTAAACATCAAAGAATTTCAATATTTTCAAAAAAATATTGAAATTCAAAAGTTACATGCATAGTGATTTTAGTTAAAGAAATATTAGAATACTTGTTTGATAATTTGTGATATGTTCAACTGAGAACGTCTGGTTTATATGGATATAATTTGGTATTATTCCACTATTTTATTGACATTGCTGTTGATTGTAGGCAGAGCAAAACCTGGCAGATCTTTCATCAGAGAAATCAGTCACACAGAAGTTGGAGAACCAGCGGTCCTCCCTGGAGAGACAGAATAAGGACCTTCGGGAGAAACTACAAGACCTAGAGAACACCGTACGCACTCGCACCAAGGCCACCATCACCACTCTAGAGGGCAAGGTCGCTAACCTTGAGGAACAACTCGACAGTGAAACAAAGTAGGTCACACTGTCGGGTCCTGTGGAGTAAAGATTTATTTGTTTCAATGTGAAGTTTCCTTAAATATTTGTTTTATATTCCTGTACTATGCACACACNTTTGTCCGGGGCATATCTTCTATACTATTTTACCTGATGTAACCCGATTTGGTATGCAAGAACATTTTGGGATGGCAGAACGTCAAGTGCTTGACCTTTGACCTCATCCTTTAAAAAGGTTTGTCCAGGGCATATCTTCAATTACTATTACGCCTAGAGTAACCAGATTAAGCATGCAAGTATGTCTTGGCAGGGGGCGTTAGGAGTACAAAAAGTATGTCTGTGAATATATATATCCCAAGATTTACAGCTGGGTAAATAAAGTTATCATAACTGGCAGGGGACTATGGAATGCCTTGCAATTTTTTTTCTTGTTTAAGATGGGGTGGGTTGAGGGAACATAGTTTACACTTTGTCTGCTCCATAACTTTTGATTACCACAAGACTCTTAGATGTGCATGTCACAACTAGATGGCATGAAACTCTGCCTTTCAATACCATAGACCCTTTTCTTAATGTCAAGACATGTCTTACGTGGTTGTACCTTCATTGGAACTGAAGAGGTCGGGCTTGGCTTGTTCTGTTTACTGACTGGATCAGGAGATTTGCACAGGTTTAGACAAGTTTATAGAGATGTTAGCTAAGGTTGTGTTGTTTTTTATCCAGGGACCGAACAAATATGCAGCGATCTGTTCGCCGATTGGAAAAGAAGTTGAAAGAGATGGTGTTACAGGCTGAGGATGAACGTCGCCATGCAGACCAGTTCAAGGAGCAGGTAACTAATACTGCATTGCTCTTAGTTCACACCAAACATTGTACATTGTGATCAGGTTAACTGTAGAAAAACTTGAGATGCATTTTTCACTAAAAATATTTCTCAAGTTTTTATCCAGAAGCATGAAATTCTTTATGCAAATTTAAGTTAATGAATTATGATAAGATGTGAGCTTATGTGACCTTGGTGACCAATTTCGTTAATCTCAATCAACAGAATGACAAGATGAACAATCGTGTACGAGCTCTGAAGCGACAATTAGACGAGGCAGAGGAGGAAATTACAAGGATGAACGCAGCCAAACGCAAACTTCAGCGAGACCTTGATGAACAAATGGAACAAAGTGAATCGACAGCTAGAGAAATATCTCAGTTGAAAAAATACAGGTAAGCTGAACTAATGCTGAAAGTTTGTCATCTCGAGGAAATGTAGATACCTGGTCATGGTTGTAACTTCCTAATCTAAATGGTGCTTGTATTTTGATATCACCCATAATTGTATTCTAAATTGTACATTCTCCTTAAAAATGGCACCGTTTCATGTAGAGTTGACATTTTTCGTCATTTCAAGGAAAGAATATAAAAAAATAAGTATTTTTATTTTGTTATGAGGTATACAGTTTCCCAGATGTGTAAGGCATTGAAAAATACCGTACTACTAAATTTCAACTGTTTTCCATAATAAAACATTTAATGTTGGGTCAAGACTTTGTCAAAATTCTGCTGAATGATTTGTAATTTTAACTATATTGAACTATGAAGTTTGTAGATGTAGATTTTTGTCCTGTGATGTACTAACAAAGTTCATTTCTATATTTTATACTAGGATTTTAGATCTAAGGTTAGGCAGTTTTTTTGTGTCAGTAATCACCTAATGTATGTGCAGTGTATTTTAGTTTCATTCATCAGCTTCACAATAAAAGGCAAATGGTTTACTAGTTGTAAATCATTCATGTAGATATGTGGACCGTAACACTGCGTTGATTGATGCTACTGAAGTTTAGAGATTGTTGACGACGGAGTCTCCATCTTTGTTGATATTAATGGCGTAGAGATCATCGATGGAGCTGCCATCTTTGTTTACATTGCAAACATTGATTTTTGGTGGAGCCTCCGTCTTGGTTGATATAACGAGTGTAGAGATTGTTGACGGACTCACCAATTTCATTTACATTGCGAGCTTAGATTTTGATGGAGCCTCCGTCTGGGTTGATATTACGAGTTTAAACATCGTCTAACAGTATGCATGTCGTGTGATTATCAACTAGAGTCTAGACTGTGCTTACGAAACTCAATAAAATGTCATTTGAACATTATTGCATTATGATAACCGCAGCGCCCCCCACAGTGTCACCAGTTAGTCGTATTATTTCTCATTAAGTCACAAGCACTTGCCTTTCCCATCAGCCTTGATTTAATCATTAGCACCACAAAATCATCTCAATTGACAGATTTTAGGACAGAACGGGCAACTCTGAAATAATTTCTAGAGATGTCTCATCAAATGTTTATACACCGAGATATCCCCTGCTTTCTTATTATGGTAGGTTACGACAGTTGCAAAATCTTTTGAGTGTTCAAGTGTCTTGAGGCTTGCATTCATTTCAATTCCATACTGTATTCAAAATCCTTTCCGTATGAATCTAGCAGCTCGTCACGGGGGAGTTGATGCCAGAGGTTAACTGTAATGAACAGGCGCTTGTGGATGGTAGAATGCTAGTTACGTGTGGTATAGCTATAGACGAGGGGGACAGACTGGGTTGTTGATCTGAGGGATGTGTGTTCCTAGCTACATGTACATTTCTGAATTCACAGATCGGGGGAGAAAGCTTCTAATTGATGATCTGACACCTGTTTGGTCAGACAGGTAAAACTCAGATTGATCTACCTGCGGCCTCTGCTAGCCAAGGCATTCTTAATTGCCTATTGTACGTCTTTGTTCCTATGTGAAATGCTTGCGACTTTTTGGCCCAGTGCATATTCCTAGTCGTGTATCATCATGTAGTTATTAATATTGTTTATCTGCCAAATGTGCATCAGAAAATCCTGAGTTAATCTAACTAATTTCCTGGAGCGCTAATAATCAATATATCTAGATTTTTTTAAAGGTTTTCTCTTTTTTTTTTATTGATTTTTGGGGGAATGCTGCATGAAGTATTTCTTATTTTCCATTTTAAGAATTTCTGCTTCAGCTTTCGACACACTAGAAGATGATATGTTGAACAATGTTTTAAGGATATGTCCCTGAACGAAGTATTTGTTAAGGAGAATAGATACAGTAGACAGTAGAAAGGGAAAAAAAATAATCTACGAAATTAATGTTTCTTTTGTCATATGTTTTTTGTATTTAAACAATGTACTTGATTTGTTAAATGTAGATTACATGGTAGTGTGCATGGTATGAAATCAAACCCATCGTAAGTTCTGCTTGGAGAGCACACATGGTTAGCTATTTTTCAAACAGTGTGTCCACCACTTTTACATAAAGCTAACTTTTGCCGAGATCACGAGTACTGTGACTGATTACCCTGTCCACCCACCTCAAACTCATCATCACCGCCTCACTGTTTGATGTGAACTACAGATGGTTTTCCTCCAAACATACCAGAAGTTGTTCAAAAATCATTTGCATATATCTTTGAGGTGTGTTTTTCATTTGTCTCCGTTTTGATAATATATCAATTGTAAATTGAAATGGCCCTAGCATGGACAGAAATATTTATTTATCCTTGCATGTTTGAGTTTACTAGACAGTAGTCCATTCACATAGGGATGTAAAAGCATGTCTTGTCACCATATATTATTTCATAAAAAAAAGAGTCATAGTGTTTATAATTATATGAGTTGTTCCTGATTGTCATCATTAATTTTATCAATTTATAATCTCACTGACTCGACCATTGCCAAATGCTAATGCTTCATCGTTATTTTGTATAAAATGAATTTCCTCTGCTGCTGAATTGGTTGGGGCAGTTACCTCCCTTGCTTCCCCCTTTCAGCAGTGCATTTTGATTTAATTCAAATGCTAGCAACAAGTAATGCAAGGTTTTCATAGCTATTAACACATTAGAGACTGGCAATCGCCTGTTAACTATCTAAAAGATAATGTTATTGTTTTGAGATCATGTTTGATGTTCAATAACACACAATCCTGACCCTGTGTTTACATTATCCTCACCAGTTGTTTTACAATTGAGTTTGTGTGTGTGGTTCATTAATATCATGGGACCATTGGCATGTGGAAGTCAGAAGTTTAAAGAAAGGCAATCCAAAATCCTCATTTTACATTTGATTGAAAAATACTTGAAGGAAAATTAAATTAAATTAATGTTTTTTTTGCCAGAACAAGAAACAAAAACTGATGTTTCTGAATAAAAGGCATAAGAGCTGTCGGTGATGAGGAAGAATTGTGCATATCATCAGTATTCAATATACATGTACTACTAACGTAACTGGTGTACAAGCACATTGTAAAAACCTTAAGCATGTTTATTCTCAGACATACTAGTGCATTCATGTGTATATGTAATGGTGCATCTCTAATTATCTGTGTTACATTGCGATAACATACTCAGTGCCTTTTTCTTCTCCATTTGCAGACCTAGTGCTAGAGTGTCATCTGCCCGCTCCATGTTGTCCTCCATACGGTCTGGAGCCGGAGATTTAGACGACGACGATGACGACAGTGTCGACTCAGCAAAACAAAACTCTGATGCTTAAACACATACCGGAACATTTATCATTTAGCAGACAAACATTTGGGGTGCCGTATGACCAGTGTATCGCCCACACATACCGTGGACTTCATATAAACACACATATACATTAATTAATTTTTTTCTACAAAAGATGTGTATATCATGCCTATATAATTTCTATAATGAAAACAAATTCAGTTTATCTTATTATAATTATTACTGTTATTATATTAAGTTTTTTTTTTTTTTACTTTGATTACCAGGACCCAAATACTTGTTTGCCTTTTTTTTATACACTGTGTAAGATTATTTTGTTAAGTGTTTGTGAGTTTTCTCACCAATCATCAACTGAATGTTTAAGAAAATGTGATGACACGTTATCATATCACCAAACTGGGACCTGAGCTACTGGACCATACCCTGACCTTTGATCTTCCTGCTGGTCAGTGTCAGTTCTCGTGTGTGAACTGCTGGCTCCTACATAGCACTGCATAGTCAATTCCGACCACGCTTGCCGTTGTGCTATTTCCGACCGAGTTTGACATGTCTTCTCTGACATAGGGTCATTGTGTCAATTCCAACCAATCCTGGTGTTGTGTCGCCTCTGATGGATTCATATTGTGTCATTTATGACATGGCATGGCATTATGTCGGAAGGCATACCTAGCTTTGAAAGTGCTGAAAATGTTTAACCTTGGATGGTCAGAATATTCGGTGTATGTCCTGTTTTATGCCAGTATATTATATTGGTTTTGCTTACCTACCTATCGCTATTATGAACAAATAATATTCGTTATATTTCTTTTACAATGGTTATTATTGTATGTGCTCTAAATTAAATTGTGCTATCCATATTGTCTCGTCGTATGCTTAGCTTTTATAGTCGAACTTAACAAACGAGGGCGTGCAAGAGGAAGAAATACATTGTTAGAGGGTTGACTGTCGACATTGGACATAAATATATGTAAATATGTGAATGAAAATATTGAAAAATACAATTATTTAAACGGTGGTATTGGTTAATTGTTAACCAAAAAAATATGAAAATCGAATTTATAAGAATTTTATGTTCGTGTTGTAAAGATGTAGTCACTGAAACTGCATAGTCTGCACTAGGAAATGGTGATTACACATGTAAATAGCCATGTCGTCGACACAGCGTCAACATTACCCAAACTCATTCCACCACCATCTTGTCAGATCACCGGCACATCACTGGCGTATGGCTACAACCTATTCTCTCATTAACTCATATTTAATGAAAAAACACTGAAAAAAACCACATATAAAAAAAAAAAAAAAA